CAGAAGCGTTCCCCGCCGACCCGGAAGTCCACCAAAGGCCCCGCCCCGTAGGCGGGACCGCGGCGAAGGCGGAAGCACTTGCACAGCGCCACACCCCGAACTTCCGCCCTCCTCTCGATGGTGGTGGGCTCTGATTGGCCGCTTGGGGCCAAACAGAATAATACACAGTATACCACGTGCGAAGACGTTTTCTGCCTCAAAACGTTGTGTGTAACTATACGCGTACTACTGGGCTTGCACCGGCCTTTCAAAATTGTTGACGCCTTCTAGAATACCTTTTAAGTTACATCAGTATTGACATCATACTTATTTTCTAATATAAAAAAGAATTATAGCTGTACAATCTTCCCCGTAAGATCAGTTCATCCAATCTGTTAAAAAGTAACAACCATGAAAATGTGAAACAAAAGCACATAGTATTTATTTTATTTATTTTTTATGTGGAGAACACTTTTTTTTTTACAGCAGTTATTGAGGACCTAGCATATCTTTAGGCCTCACCCACTGATCAAACTGATCTGACGTAAGGAATCCCAGCTTTATAGCAGCTTCTTTTAACGTCGTCCCTTCTTTGTGCGCAGTTTTGGCAATCTTAGCTGCTTTATCATATCCTGTAACAAAACAAAATGAACAAGTTAGCCATTCGTAGTTTCAGAAGATCTGTAAGAGATGAGAAAAAAGTGGGACGCTTGGTCTTTGGAGAATTAATTTGCTAGATATTGCTATTACGGCTTCGCTCAATTTGCAGTAAATGCGCACCAAATGTTTACACCAACTCCTTCCTTGAAGTGAAGGTAAATTCTGTTATTCTGGTCTTAATGCATTTACATCAAAGTTTTAAGTGACCTTCTCCTTTAAAAAAAGGATCTCACATTGTAATCTTTCACTTTTCATTATTATTAGCAATCAAATCAGGATGACAGGCACACAAATTCTCCCAATCTCCTTTTTTTTGACTCTAGTCAGAATTATTTTTACAGTGCACCGGTATGTCCACTGCAAGAAGGACATAACTTTTTCAACAGTAATAGCAGTCAGTAATGTTAAAATAAATTAGCTTTTGGCCTGAGCCACAACTTCGTCTCCTAAAGTTTGTGACAATACAAATAACGCGTGCAAAATAACATTACTCTAAAATATCTCACTATAATGTTTTGAGAAGTTTCTAAGCCTTAAGCTTACCTATATGCGGGTTCAGTGCTGTTACCAACATCAGAGATTCACTCATTAGTTTGTTGATCCTTTCCGTATTGGCTTGGATTCCAGCTACACAGTTGTCAGTGAAAGAAACACAAACATCTCCAAGAAGCCTTGCAGAGTTTAAAACATTTTTAATCTAACAAAAAAAGAAAGAAATACCAACCATTACACTCAGACCTAATCAGTGCCCTGCCTGCAATATCGACTTCTTTAACAGGCAGTTTGTAGAAAGTGAGTACAGTAAATAGTACATGCTCCTCCTTTAGCAGGGTAACTTCAGCCACTCCCATTTAAAGGAATTTGAGAAGCATTCAATAGCAGAACAGCCCTTGCATAAAGATGACCACAGTACGTATAATCATTTTGTTACAACAGTTCACAAATAACGAAGTAAAAAATACATGAAGGTATTTGATTCACTGTTATTTTCCCCCTCAGGTACTAATCAAGAGAAGACATCGAAAAATGTAAAGTTTGTATAATGTCTTCTGGCATTAGTCCTCTACTTTGACAATCCATAACATGCCACTCTTTTTTTCAGAAAGGTATCCGTTTCTATCAAAATTTATCTTCTGCTAGGTACATCTCTTGGCTGTTCAATATAATTTTTTTTCCCTCTCTTTGAAACCAGCTGCTATAGACTTAGAAGAAATATGTTCATACCAGCAGAAAAACATTACCCTAAGCAGACACAGTAAGGAAGAGACAAATACTGATTTTACTGTAAGATTCAATTCTCTTTTAATCATTTCTAACTAGCATAATAAAAAAGCAGTACCAGTCAGTATAGGCTGTGCAGAAAAATAACATGCAACTTGCTGCTTCCTTTATGCCTCTTCTTTCTAACAAGACAACAAAACCTCAAAACCTTTCCTTTTATTGCTATTTAGTATTAGGATCTTTTCTGCAAGTCACCTTAATTCTTTTTAAACTATCATCCCTACCCTAACCTCTATGCTAGTCCTTCAACATTTTATACACAGTTCTCCACAATCTTCCAATTGGATGCTTTTGTTTATATTCTTTTCCTCAATTTCTCCTCTGTTTACTTTTTCTTCTTGGTTTTAAGAAGAAAAAAAACCCAAACATAGATAGCCCAAAGAAGAAAATAAGAATTATGACTTTGTGTCAAAACATCCAAATTTCAGTACAAGGTGAATTTAACTTGACGTTTTTAATTAAATATACAGAAGCAGCAGTATGTATCTTGGTGTATTGTGCTCACATTGTAGACAGCATATGTTATTTTAAATACTGAAGTCTAAGACTAATCATTTACAATTTTACATGACTGACTTGCCAAAAGCATGTAATCCTTTGGTATTCAGCAGTTACACAAACTAGTGACAGACAGTTGCTAAAGAAAAAAAAAATCCTCATTTTTAGCTAAAATACCAAATTCTCTTGAGCTTTGGACAAAATTTTGTCTCAGTTTGTGTTCCTCTCTCCCTACTTCCTTAGACTAATGATAAGCATATATTGTTAAGATAAAAGCTTATCTGCGTAAGATAGTTTCATGTAAAAAAGACTGCCAGTCCCGTATCAAAATAACAAGGACTCATATATTGTTAAGATAAAAGCTTATCTGCATAAGATAGTTTCATGTAAAAAATATTGCCAGTTCCCTGTCAAAATAACAAGGACTTACCATTCAAAAGAATAAAATTTGTTCTTACAATTTATTAGCTTCTCTGGTGCTTGTATTGACCAAATAGTCACTGAAGTTTTTTTCCCACAAGTTATCTGATTGTACAAACAGTGATTTAAAAAGTCCTAGATATTTAAAACTTTATGAACTTACCATCATGGGCTTGAAAACATTCAGTTCAAAGTGTCCGTTGCTACCTCCTACAGTAACAGCAACGTGGTTTCCCATAACTTGGGCTGCGACCATGGTTACAGCTTCACACTGGGTAGGGTTCACTTTTCCTGGTTGTGGAAGGGAGAGAAAAAGGTTACCAAAGATGAAGAAAGGAGGAAAAAAAAAACCAAAATACACACCACCAAACCACCAACAACCAAAAACCAGTACTTTCCTCATTTACCAAATCACATTCAAGAGAGGATGTTTTGTGGCAGGTAACATGTCTTACTCATCCGTATCTGTGCACCACAGAAAAGAAATAATTTCCATAAATGATATTAAATTGACTGTGCTATTCCAGTAATTCAGCTAGGATTTTTAAAACAGCTGTGGCTGCTTTAGCAATCTATGAAGACTTTGAGAGCTGGATCAAATGTGCGTGAGCTAAGCAGTTGTTAATTACCACAGTTCTTAATAGTTAACCTGCCTTTACTTGTGTAAGTAGGCATTTCTGGTAAATCGTTACCAAATCTCAGTCAACTTAAGAAAAGTATTACTATTTGTTAGAATTCTTTGTAGTAAAATTCGTACTCTATGTTTACTTTGTCAGGGGGAAAAAAAAAAAAAATATAGAGTGGCCTCCTAACAAGCAAGTTTTATGAAAAAAAAACCAAAAAACAAAAAAACCAAATTAGAGTAGCCTCCTGACAAGCAAGTTTTATCGTTGATTTCATTTCTAGAAAGTCCTAACAGGAACATTCATTATCTGCTTTTTTTTAAAGGCAGATATGCTCACAACCTGTTTCTTTTATAATTTTTCATACAGGAAGAACATGCTTAGAATAGT